CTGCAGACATACCTAGAACGTTAAATTTCATTTGTAGGCTTCCTTGCGTATTTTCTGTGTTCAGTTTATTCTTCATTTTTACTAAGAATTCATTTGTAAGATTTGATTTAGTAAAATGTAAATAATTTTTTCTACAAAAACTCCTACAGAATTAAGCGAGGGAAAGCGAGAAGAAAGGACTAACCATCAACTGCAAGAAGACAGAATACACGGTTGTTTGTAAAAGATTGAACCCAAAGTACGAATTGCAGTTCAGAGGTACCTTGACCCGGGGTGGTAGCACCTGTTAGGGTCCCAGCTATGGGCAAATAATTAACTATTACCAGCAATACTTTTCTTGAAAAAATTATTACCAGCAATACAATTCTGAAGGAAATATATTACCAGAAACAAATTTTTGACAAAACAAAATATTACCAGCAATAAATTTTTTTCTCAGCATTAAATAACCCTTTGAAGTTGATATGACGTAAAACAAAATAAACCAAACAAATCTAAATCAAAGAATATATATTCTATTCATACGAATCTATCCTAAAAATGTTGTCGGCATTAAATAACCCATTGAGGTTGATATGTTGTAAAACAAAATAAACCAAATCAAACTCTCTTTCTCTCTCTCTCCTTAATAGTAGTTTTCTCAAACTCTCACACTCAGTAACCCTTTGCGCCTAAGTGGCTTTATTGCCTTGCTTATTGTGAAAGGATTAAAAAAATGTTTCACAGCAAAATTGAAAGAGACTTGAAAAATTTAAGTAAAGTTTCAAGACATGTAACAGAGCAAGGGATTTTAATTTAATTTAATTTTCATTTAATTTCTAAAAACAAAAATTAAAGGTCATTTGTCATAATGGTTGACTTAGACTAATCTAATCGTCTTTGCCATTGGTATTTTTTCAAAACGTTTCACCATGGAGTCTTCGATTGCACCACGCCTCACTAATTAAAAGTAAATTAAGGGGAAACATTGTAGAAAAAAATGATATTAATAAGAATTGTATTAGATTGGAAAGAATTTCCAGTCATATTTAAAGATGAAAATGAAACAAATATATCTTGATATTTCATCCCATTAACCATAACATATTCCCTTCTATCTATCCAATTGTTGACCTTTCAGATGTAAATTTTTCAGGTTTCAGTTCAAAGAAACACTCAATATCAGTGTTCACAATTAATAAACTATTTTCCCTATAAAAATATCGCAATGATCTGAAAAGATGATAGTCAGATGGAGCAATGGCAGGAGAGTAAGGTGGATGAGACAAAAACAAAACTTCCATATTAAACGCCTTAATCTTTTACTGAGTGACAGAATTATGCCGTCTTGCATTCACATCTCTTTGGGTTGTTTGTGTACAGAAAATCATCATCTCCATCAAATTATCTATTGGAATACTGGTCCGTTCTTCTAGGGATGAGTCAGAAGCCAATCTTTTTCTGACTACTGAGAGTGCCTCCTCCGTGGGTACCTTGGTGGACAAACTCACCACGTTCAAACTCACCATCTGAAGGAGAGGATGGGGGCATCTTTGATTATTTCCACGAAAAGGGAGAAGTTTCGTAATACAATATGGGAACCAGTAATAAGGAGTGCCAGAGAAAAGCCATAATAACAACAAAATTGCAATATGACGTCTGGTAAAAAAACATGCAATGATAACAGCAAACATTGCAATATGAGCACTGGTAAAAAAACGGTGGCTGAAGACATTAACAACAAAAATTGCAATATGAGCTCTGGTAAAAAACATGCAATGATAACAGCAAAAAATGCAATATGAGCACTGGTAAAAATGGTTGCTGAAGACATTAAGTTCATAAGTCCCAGTAATTCATACACATGGCATAGTGGATAAAGGCATCGGTTAGATCCAGTGACAGGACCCAAAGAGTTGTGAGTTTAATACCTGGTTAAGGCAGTGGAGAACTTGGAGAGGGGAATTAACAGGAGATAACAGATAACAGATCCATTAAACATGGCACGTGAAACTAGAACGGTCTACCCCAGCGAGCTAAATAAAGGGTTCAGTTCGACATTCTAACCACCTGAAGAAGGCCGGAGAGTACATCGGCCGAAACGTTGTGATAAATATGGCAACAAAGATGGGGACAATAGTTCGAATAATGTAAATAGTGTACATAATACCTCATCTCAGAAATATAGGCAGATAGGAAACTTTTTGTAGTAAGTTTACTCTGCAATGCCAGACAGATTGCAACTTTGATTTAATTGAGAAGCAGTCAGATGATGAGAGACCAATTGATCAAGTTCAGACATTTTTCCGAATTCATGGAGATGTTTTGTGATCGAAGAGAGACTTGTATCGAACTGTTTGGCAAATTCTTTTATAGTTTGCTTTGAGTTTCCCTCAATTACGACTTGCAGAATCTCAATATTGACAGAACTTGGTCTCGTCCAAACCGATAACCGATGGGAATTTTCGAGAAGGAAAACCTTCGTTAGCATCTCCGGACACTTGAAGTTTCATTTGCATTGACAGAACGAATATTTCTAGCCGCTTCCGTTTTTGTAATTCATACAGCATGAGTAATCTGTAATGGGTTTAATCAAAACACGTTTAAAAGGGGTCAAATAAACACAAGACTTACAAACTCTGATATTAAGTAATCAAAAAAGTTTGTTTTATTTTATGGCATGTCAGTCTCAATGGGTTATTTAATGCCGACAAGATTTTTAGGATAGGTTTGTATGAATAGAACATGTATTCCTTTTTTGTTTTATTTTGTTTTACGTCATATCAATCTCAATGTGTTATTTAATGCCGACAAGATTTTTAGGATAGGTTTGTATGAATAGAACATGTATTCCTTTTTTGTTTTATTTTGTTTTACGTCATATCAATCTCAATGTGTTATTTAATGCCGCCAAGAATTTTAGGATAGGTTTATATGAATAGAACATGTATTCCTTTTTTTTTTATTTTGTTTTACGTCATATTAATCTCAATGTGTTATTTAATGCCGACAAGATTTTTAGGATAGGTTTGTGTGAATAGAATATGTATTCCTTTTTTGTTTTATTTTGTTTTACGTCATATCAATCTCAATGGTTTATTTAATGCTGACAAGATTTTTAGGATAGGTTTGCTAATAATATTTTCCTTTTTGTTTTATTTTGTTTTACAAAAAATGGTTTATTTCTGGTAATATTTTTTTCAAAAATATTTCTGGTATTGTTTTCCAAAATATATTGTTGGTAAGAATTATTTTTTTCAAATCCACTAGAAATAACGTTTAAAGCTATAAAATATACCCATTTTTAAGTTATGCTCTATTTATGTGTAAAAGTGCTCAATATCAGGGATATAGTGGGACGTCGTGGTCAAGACGTTGTGGCGGAAGTCTGTTTTATGTTCAATCGCAATCTCCAGTCGATGTGCGTTGTGTTGTAGCTCGATTATTTATGTGCTGGTCAATGTGACATTATGGGTAGAAAGATATTTCCAGTTTATTGTCTTATCCTAATTGTTATTTGATAGATGGTAGCGGTTATATTTTAAATTTTTCTGAAATCTACTGAGTAGAAAAGATTATGTGCAAGCAGGCGGTTGTTTTATAGATAGTGTATAGGGTTCTTTGTTAAATTTGAACTTATCAATTATTAGTGATTGATTAGGGTATTTTGCATTTATTTATACCTTGCCACATATCGATAATTCATTCTTTTTACCAAGGACTCTATAAATCATTCTTTTTACCAAGGACTCAATAAATAATTCTTTTTTACCAAGGACCTGTTAAGATTTTGTTTTGATCTGAGATATCGTTACATTATTGGTATATTTTAAGTATTATTCTTTTTCTTATAATAATAATCAAATGCCATTTTGTGGATTCTGAAGTATAAGATGTCTTCGAGGAAAGTTTCTGCCAAATATCTGATTGTATTTTTAGACTGATGTATTTTTTTGTTTTGAATGATTTAATTTTATGCTTGGCAGTATGAATAGAACATGTATTCCTTTTTTGTTTTGCGTCATATCAATGTCAATGGGTTATTTAATGCCGACAAGATTTTTAGGATAGGTTTGTATGAATAGAACATGTATTTCTTTTTTGTTTTATTTTGTCTTACGGCATATCAATCTCAGTGGGTTTTAACCCTAACCCTAACCCTAACCCTAACCCATGCTGGTCGTTTTCACAATTTGGAAGGGTTTCGTATTTCTGAATGAATCTTTTGATCTGATTCAATCATTATTATCAAATGTTACTAAATTTTCCCCATTTGACCAACTCAGGAATCGAATTTTCTTTCAAATCATCTATCAATATGTGTTTTTGCACAGGTGAACATTTTATGACAATTTCTTTTTCTAAGAGCTAAGTACTAAATAACTTTAGCGGTCGAATCCTAGCGGACACCCAAAGTTAAGTAAAATGCTTCGAGGCCTATGTGGTTTGAATGCTTGCTCTGCAGTTGTTATTTTGAGTATAATATAATGTTGCCCAAAATATACAAGTTAAAAGATCCTAAATGTCTTGCTGATGCATTTGTATTTCAATCAAAAGTTGCATGTCGTTCGCTAAGGATTTTGATTAAGCAGCAAAATGTCTCCAAACAAGAAAAAGAGCAGCAAATAAAAATTCGGATAAACATCGTATGTTTATGTCGTTCTAAGATTATATATGGATAAATTATTTCAGGACTTCAAGGAAATGTAAGTGGACAGATTTTTTAATCAATTCCCTCCCCAAGCAAGGCGATGACACCATTAAGACGTCAGTGGCCACCGGAAGTGAACGAGAAGGAAAATACTTTAGAAGGAAGCAGAAACCCAATAATAATATAAATTTCAAAGTTTAAGCGGAGTCTTTAGAAGTATGGACTTGAAATAGAATTTAGAAGAAGCCTGAACTTTTTCCACAATAGAAGTACATAGGTTCACCGATTGCCCGTTTGACACTTGTACTCGATTTTTTGAACGGGAGTAGAGGTTTAGTCTTTGTTTCCTGTTTAGGATTGGGTTTCCGGTTCCTTCTAAATTCTACTTCCACTATATAATTCTAACGTCTCCGCTTAAAGTAAGTTTACATAAACAGGAAACAAGAGATAAATCCTTATTCCCGTGAACCAAGCTATAGGTGAATCTATCTACTCCTATTATGAAAAGAAGACAATAAATAAAAGGTAAATAGCAAAGATTTAAAAGTTTAATAAAGCATTCTTTTCAAAGAAACTGTTAATTTCCATTTGTTCATGTAAACACAGAAAACAGGTTTCATATAAGGATCTACATGTCCTTGCCATTTTAAAAAATTTCCATTTCACCTTAGGAGTTTTATTATTGTATTTTAAACTCAAAAATATTTAGAAAGTGATATATTATTTCTATAAGTATTATTAGTGAAGGACAATATATGTCGATACCACCTAGTCTTGAAGAAATTCTTGGTACTACCAATATAGAACCTTTTAACAGTTGGATTCTCCATTGTAGAGATAGTACAAAGATAAACAAGAGATTTAGTTAAACATTTGTTTAGCAATAGGCATTGGTCAGAATTCCTACAATTACACTGGCCAGTATCATTAACGATATTTTCCTTGGAACTTGTAATATGATTCACATTCTCAAATTGGTTTAAAATTTTATTATTGTGAAACTTTATATATAATCTTCTCAAGATTGTTGGTGCAGCTATAACTTAGTTTTAATGTTAAATATTTTACTAAGAGAGTTACGTTTAGGAAAATGTTTATCAATCAAATAGAGGAACTTATGGCCTTAGTACTGACCAGTTGATTAAATGGGAGTGTGTACCAAATAATCATCCTATTTCTATTTCATTTCTTTGGACCACTATCATCATATTTCCTAAACTTGATTTCAGCGTACTTGTAACCATTATTCTTTAAAAAAATTATTATACACACCGCTATATTTATCAAACACATCTTTGCCCGATGAGTGGTTGCTAATTTTACGTTCTACAGACGAAGGTATATGTTGGATTACAAATGGAATGTGGTTAGAACTGAAGTGAACATAAATTAAGTCGGCTTTATTTTTCATGTAAAGTTGAAATATATCATTAACGAGATCTAACGTAACATCAAGAAAATCTACTTCTTTAACATTAGTATTAATCTTAGCCTTAAGATTTAAACTTTTTAGTTCTCCATGAATCATTCTTCTTAATTTATCGACCTTAATTTTAGTGAAATTTTTTACTACTATAAGGCCATCATCTCTATATAACCCTATACTATCAACATTGACTTCTTCATAGGCAGTAATGTTATATAAAATAAATAAACCAATCAGATCAGAATATTGCAGAATCTAATGAACCCATTGAAATATCAAAGTAATCATCAGAGTTCTTAACCCACTGTTCTTTATTGTGGATGGGAACAGATCTCCTGCAGTTCCTTATTATATTTATCTCTTCACTGGAGATGTTAAAATAGTCTTTGACAAATTCCAAAGCCAAGGTAAAGAGGTCCTTGGAAATGGAAGGGTAAAAATCCACAATATCAAACTGGATAAAAGAGCAGCTACTTTTGTTACAAAAAGTATATTTAGATATTCTTGATAAAATCCAAAGAAGAATCTGAAATATTATTGGTCCTGATCTGGCATCTCGGCTACAGTCCATTCCCCATCACCGTAACGTAGCTTCCCTGTGCCTTTTCTATAAATACTTCCATAGTAATTGCTCTCATGAACTTTTCCCTATAGTACCTAGACTTTTTGAATTCAAGTGTAGTACTAGATTGGTGTCAAGATCACATTTTACTTACAATTGAAATGGCTAGATGTAACCGTACGTTCTAGGCCAACAGTTTCTTCTCACACACTTTTCGCTTGTAAAATTCTTTTCCGGCTTCTTGCTTCCCAGTTAGGTTTGATCATCAAAAATTTAAATGCAATGTCAATCGTTATCTTCTGTTCATTTATTGTTCTCTCTTTAATAGTGTTTTTTCTTATATTCTTTCAGTAACCAGTAACCACCCTTGCGTCTTAAAGGCTTTATTGCCTTGTTTGGAGAGAAACGAATAAAATTTAAATACAATCTCAATCATTATCTTCTGTTTTCTTAATTCCTGTTCTTTTCTTATTCTCTCTCCTTAATAATGTTTTTCTTTTTCTCATATACTTTCACACCAGTAATCCCTTGCGTCTTAGTGGCTTTATTACCTTGCTTTGTGTGAAATGATTAAAAAAGTATGGGGCGTCAACCGTAACAATCTTGAATTCCCTTTATTCGATACAACGAGACGATCCTAAGATGAGTAGAAGTCCAGCCAAGATTTGATATTTGCCGCCATAATCTTAACATTACAGCTGGTTGCCGACTCAGAAGGGAAACTAGAAGAAATTCTCGAGTTGGTCGCGAAAGAAAGTGGCACCAACAGGCTATTAACAGAAGATAGATCGTGTAGATAGAGCACAAGAGGCAGCCAAAGGTGTGAGTTTTTAATCAATGACATCAGAATGAAGCAGGTACAGAAATTAAGCTACCTGGGTTGTATAGCAACAGACGACGGAAATTGTGACACAGAGATCCGGACGTGCATCGGAATAGCGAAAGAGGCTCTCCAGTAACTAAAAAAGGTGTTAAGATATACGAATATTTCGTTAGAAACAGAAAGTGTTGAAATGTTATGCCATAGATATTCTCCTTTATGACAGTGAGTGTTTGACAGTTTCCTTACAAATTCTATGCTGAGAATAACATGGACAGAACACGTGAGCAAGGAGGAAGCTCTTATGGAAATGGCCACCAGAAAGACCTTAATAAATGTTGCGTAAAAAGGGACTCACCAATTCACCACAGACCTACGCCATCTGCTAAACGAAACTAAATTCACGCTCTGTCAACATCATAGGGGCAAGTATGGAACAAATTTAAATAATTAAACCATATAATAATCATCAATGTGTATTTATTTATATATTTCCTGTGTACTGATTTTTATATTTCCTGTCCCATCTTTAATGGAAAGTGAAGTAAACCAACTTAAGTTAGTAAATTAATGAGCGTTTATTTCCCTTAGTCGTTTTAATAATCTATACAAAGAAAATATTTACCTGCATTTAGACAAAGTTATTACCGAGCAAAATTAATCAATTCCTTTACTCCTACGTTTCTTAGATTGCAGTCTTATTTATTCAAGACTTTCCTGTGGTGCACACATATAACTTTGTCTATTAAGTGATCGTCTTGTTTTAACTTGGTATTGAAATAGGCTTTGTTGTCGCCGTCTTTGTCGTAATGTTATTCCTCCGAGAGATATTTCCATTTCACTGTTATATTAAACACATCTTTAACCTGAAAAGTTATTGAGTAAAAAGCGATTGGGTATCCATGATTCATGGATTAATCCTGGTATTATATATACCAGGAGTAATCAATGATCATAGACACCATTGAACGTCTAAAAAATATCAAGGGAATGGATTAATTAAACGGTACATTGGCCTCCATTTTATTTGTGAATTCTTTATTTCCGCTTAATGGAATCTCAATACATTGTTTGAAGACTTTTGTTTCATTGCAACTCAAATATAAAAACTTTCTAACAATTGCCGTCATTTTTGACGGGGCGGACACACTAGTTTCAGATTAAGTTTCATCAATATGCTTTCTCACAAAATATTGTCATATTCTAATGTACTTCTGTTTGAGTAATTATATTTTTCAACGGTCATATATCGGAAAAGCCACTTAACAAAAGTCTTCCTGAACATACGCATATACGGTTTTACAATAACTTCTTCGTACATATATTCCTGATTCGTACATATTAAAACATTGGCATTGAATTATTGGTTTAAGAATTTTGTTCATAACTGTTCGGTTAATTATTTTCATGTATCTAATTAATAGTTTTAGGGCACCTGCCACAGTAACATTTATTTTTTTAACAAAATTACGAACAATCATTTCTCTTAAACATCTGTCAAATTCTTTGTTTCTTTCTTTGTTTGTTTGTTTCTTTCTTTCTTTCGTTTTTTGAAGTTGCTTGTTTGTTTCTTTCATTGAAGTTATTTCTTTCTTTCTTTCTTTCTTTCTTTCTTTCTTTCTGTAAAGTTCTTTATTTGAAGATCTTTTTCTTTCTTTCTTTATTCTTTCTTTCTTTTTTAAAGCTCTTTCTTTATTTTCTTTCGTTCTTTCTTTCTTTCTTTCTTTCTTTCTTTCTTTCTTTCTTTCTTTCTTTATGTCCTTCCTGGCCTTCATTTAGATGTCTGCTTCTTTCTTTCTTTCTTTCTTTCTTTCTTTCTTTCTTTCTTTCTGTAAATTTTTTCTTTCTTTCTGTAAAGTTCTTTATTTGAAGATCTTTTTCTTTCTTTCTTTATTCTTTCTTTCTTTTTTTAAAGCTCTTTCTTTATTTTCTTTCGTTCTTTCTTTCTTTCTTTCTTTCTTTCTTACTTTATGTCCTTCCTGGCCTTCATTTAGATGTCTGCTTCTTTCTTTCTTTCTTTTTCTTTCTTTCTTTCTTTCTTTCTTTCTTTCTTTCTGTGGATTTCTCGCTTTCTTTGAAGACCTTTCTTTTTCCCATTCTCCTCATCATAATCTTTTATTTTTATTCGTATTTACTCTTTCCTCTCCTTTTCTTTTTCCTGTCCAACATTTTTCTTACCCTAATCCGAATCCCACTTAGTTTCCTCCTATTCATGCTTACAACTTCCCCTCTTCTTGTATTTGCATAATCCTCCCCTTCTCTATGTCAGTTACCCTCTTTCTCTCTCTCTCTTAAACTACAGGAAACTTCGAATTCGGCGTCTCTTTTCATTCAAATCACGAAGTACAGAAAAGTCATCTGCACTTGGTCACGAAATGCCCAACGTCGCGTGAGTTTTTCTTCTACATTCAATATGTTTAACTTTTAGAAACTCACATACGCCTAACACACACACACACACACACACACACATATATATATATATATATACATAAATAGAGTGAGAGAGAATATGCATATATTTTCTCTGCATATTATTAATGATAATGATGATGGTGTTATTATAACTGAAAGAATAGGTGAAAATGACGAGAATTTAACGTGTTTTATGTGGAGTGGGGTAACTGAACTTCTACCAAAAAGTAGATAACTTGAGCTGTAATATTCAATAAATCAAGAAACGTTTAAGTTACTTATCCTTTTAGCCGACTCAAGAGTTTCCCGTTAAAACGCTCAAGAGGGCCTTTACCATGTTTAATGAATCTATATTCTGCTTTATATTTGATTTATCAAACATCTATGATTTGAAAGTATCAGCGTCCATTCTTTCGTGCGCATGTGTAGTGGCATCAACGTAAACATCTTTAGCCCGATGAAGTTCTAAAGCAGTGCTTCTCAAACTATAGCGGACCGGCATTTTTTTTTCTCAATGTTTCACGTACCTCTAATATTTCGTGGTAATATTAATTTGTACCGGAAACGATATATATAATGAATATAATAAAAGTTGACTATTTTTTTTCTTCCATTTATTTTGCAAAAAATAATTCAATATCTATTTTATTACTTTTTATATAAGTAATAATAATATAAAAGGCAGTTTATTAACACAAAAACAAAAATTATATAACCTTAAGCTTTATAAATGATTTCTTATCATGGCCTGGACATTGGCTGCATACAGGTAGCACTGTCCTAAAGGACGAAACGCGTCACACGAAAATGTTTTCCACTTTGTCATAGTTTCCCTATTTTGTCTATCGTTAATTGTTGAATATAATTGCTTATTAAAGGCCGGTTTTGTACAATAATAGGCGACGTTATTTTATTTAAATTATTAGTTGTTATTCTTAGTCTTTCTTAGAATTAATTCTTTGCCACTAGAATTCATGAAACAATGTTTTAATCGACTAGACTATTTTTACTCCAGGGTGCACTTGTAGAATAATTAAAGCTCTGGGCACACTTTAAATTTTAGTAAGTAAAAATTAATCATGAAATTTAAAAATGTGAAATTTTAGTTTAGCATTCTCAAAAGTTAACGCTACAGTTCTCATTTAAATGGATTTATGAAGAATCTGTAATTTTTTTAAAGAAACCGATAATGACTGATTTAAATCTCTTGAGGAAGGCAAGAGTCCAGTTTAAAGTATCAAATGACAAAGACATTGAAGCAATATGCGTGGTGTCTCTAGCTTTTTAAGAATAAAGATTTATTTCTAAATATAAAAATAATTCATAAATTACACTTCTGTTTATTCTGGGCGTACCTGGCTACTTTTCAGTGCGCATTAGTGTGCTCCCAGGCACACTGGATGGTTTTCATTGCAAAAGTAACATAATTGCATTATTATAGAGATTTTCCAAGCGTTGCTTAGATGCAGCACAAAGCCGAAAGTATGGGGGAACCAGTGAGGATCGAACTCTCATTCGTAATTGTTCTAGCGAGACTAGCTTGCTAACCATTACACCGCCTCGAGTCGCCCTAATTGCATTATTATATACTAGAATTTTTTTGCACCACAACGCGTGTTGAAATCCGCATAGTATTTAGTAGTACTAATTGAATTGTTTTAAAATAGTCGGAGTATTTTGTATGTTAAATAATATAACTTTTACGTTTCCAGAAAAAGCTACGTACCCTAGTAAAACCAATTGTATTTTGTACCCCTTTAACTTTTTACCCTACTCCCAAAAATTTAGTTTTGGTCGGTCAATGTATGACTATTTTAGAAGCCGCGACTGAAGGACAGAAGTGACAGAATTTTATATATAGATAATTATGACGCTTTTCTTACCTGAATTAAAACTTCAAATGTAATATTTAAATTATTGAAATACGTTTCAGGATTTTTAATTTAAAGCATTCTATGAGCAATGTTTTACTTAATAATAATAGAAAAGCGATTCCCCATTTCATGTAAAAATGTATAGATATTTTTACAAACTTCAATCTAGGAAATATTTTTCCTTTTCAGGTGGTTTTCGGTCTTTTTTCATGGGGAGAAAATTGCCCATTACCTTATCGCGCTGACCCAATGCGTGTTGGTTGAGGCAGATATGACAGACTTGGATGATCATTTCTCTTTTCGATTCGTGATCGCCCAAGAGTATTTGTGCGTAAGTTAATATAACAAACTGAAATTCTAACTCTGCTCATTTTTTTTTATATCACCAGCACATCCATGCTTAGAGTACCTGGTATTCTTAAGCGGTCACCCATCAGTTTACTCTCCCAGAATACACGAGAAATGCAGAGAGTTATTTTAAGTTCTTGTACAACGAATGAATGAGTTGTAGGAGTTGCAACCCAAAATAACTTTAAGCTAATGTATAGATTTATACGTGATACTGTTCGTTCAATTCTACTAAGCTGACCGCTGTCAACGTCAGCAAATAGGTCACAAAGACACAAAAATTAACAGAATGTCCTCCAGCCTCACTAATAGAAAACACAAGATCATCATTTTTTGGGGGAGATAATAATGGTTTTAGGAATACAAGTCTTAATAATTAATCCATATATGTTAACAGGTGATCGGACGAAAACCGGTGTTTCAACGTGATATGGCCGTAAGCGCTTTTTCAGAAGAAGCAACCTATTATAAATAACGGGTCAAACGATTTCCAGCTTCGAAAAGAAAAGAAAAAAGATCCCCCTCATGTGCCATTGGAAGTAATAGAACCTAACTGAAACGCAAAGACATTTTAGAATAACGTTTCAAACAGCTCCACCAAAGCTGATCACTATTGCTCACATTACAGTTTGGAGCAGAAAGAACAACAGTTCAATACCCAGCCATCGTCTCCCAGACCCTACCAATGGCTTGTTTCGTATAGAGGGGGGCACTTAAAAGATAACTTTTATAGCCGAGAATCGCTGGAAAATCGATAAGGCAAAAGCAGCCATCGGGAGAGAATGCACCTAAATCCTAAATGAACTACTTAAGGCAACTCTCTGCAAATGTAATAACGTCATTGTCTGAAAGAAATTGGTATTTAGCTCGAACACGTGCCACATCTGAAAATAATTATACCTCTCCTCTTTATTCTTAATTATAAATCTTTGACATCATATTAATAAATAAAATCAGTGTATTCATACATTTTTGAAAAACTCTGTTGCTTAAGGCCATATCTCGTTGAAACATTGGTTCTCGCCTGGTCACTGAAGTTAAGCTTATATCGCGCCTGGTCAGTACCGCTTGGGAATACCCGGTGCTGTAAGTTTGGGCCTGCGTGTGGTGTAATGGATAACGACTCAAGATGAACAAAAATAGGAGAGCCGAGTTCGAATTCCAGTCGGGTTGGTTGCATGTCTTATGCAATTACTTTTGGGCGATCATGATCGAAAAATAGACATGATTGCCTAAACGTGTCATGTCATATCCAACCTTACCAACACGCATTGGGCCAGCCCCGTAGAGTAATAACCCATCCACCCCCACAATAAATCTGGGGAAGGCCTACGTCCAACGAAGGACCATCATTGGATATCCTGTATAGATAAAGATATTATTCTTTTATTTCCTTTGATTTCTGGTTTGTAGCCGTTTCTTTCCGGGTCCTGACCAGAGATCTAGGGTCGGAAATGGCATCATGGCATTTTACACGGAGCAATTTCGAAAAAAAGAAAATCACACATGTTTTACATAGATAAAGCCCTTTGTAAGGGGGGCCGTACTTCTGAGAACAATTTTTTATATTTCTTTAAGGCATGGGCTGTCAGGGATTCCTTCAATGAGTCAGTTGGAATCTTTTCCAATAAATCCGAGGGTTGCAACTACAAGTGGAATTGTTGATGTCCTCATGTGCCACATTTTGGAGATTTCGATTTCAAGGTCTTTGTATTTTGATATTTTTTTGAAGATCTTCAAAGATTACATTACAGTCTGCAGGTACCGTCATCATTATTATTATTATTATTATTATTATTATAGTTATTATTATTATAGTTCATTATTATTATTATTATTATTATTATTATTATTATTATTATAGTTTATTATTAGTCATTAACTAATATTAGTCTTCTAACTAATTTTCAGTCCGGTGAAGCAAAAGAAATGTGGTTCTACACAACAATACTGAGGATATAATGGGCCGAACATATGACCACCGTCGAGGTTTTGGAGAAAATGGGAATAAAAAGGAAACTTATACTTAACGTCAGGAAGAGGTAGTTGAAATTTCTGGGGCATGTAATGAGGAAAGAGGGCTTGGAGAACCTGATACCCACAGGACAGATTGAGGGAAAAAGGAAAAGAGGAAATCAGCGCGTAGCATACTTGATGAACAGATAGAACATAGTTTGGGAGAAACATACTTGATGAACAGATAGAATAGGGTTTGGGAGAAATAACAAAAAGAAAAAAATATTAAGAGCTAAAAAAGACAGGAAGATGTGGAGGGTCATGTCCTGAAGGGATACGGCACATAAAAGAAGAGAGAGGAAGACTAATCTCTACATTGAGAATTATATTCGACTATGTCTGGTTTTATTATATAAGTCAATGTTTTCATATAAAATAACTATTAACCAACCAAAAATGTATGAATCCATCTCTTCTGCCCCCAGCGATAAGTGAAATGATAGGGTAGATAGGACTCTCTAGCCGCAGTTGGCAACTAGTATAAGAGAAAAATCCTGCATAGTTTTTGTCTGAATTTCTGCCCAGACCGATATACATCTTTACATGTGCAAATTAATTGAAACAAAACGAGTAATTCCGTTATTATTTATTCCGTATTTTTCCAATTAAAAATGACCCAGTGTACATATCAGTACTTCTTAAATCCATTCTCCAAAGCTGTTCCTTGCAAATTGACCACAGATTCTCGATTAGAATTAAACCAGGAAAATTTCCGAGCCAGTCGATAGTATATTTATTTAATCATTGGTAATGCTTGACATTGTGTTCGTGTAGCGTTACAATTTTCGTACGCTTCCTTGTAGTAACGTCCATCGCAGACAATAGCCGTAGGACAACTAATCGACAGTCGAGACAATAGTGTTTGGGCATGATAAAAATCTGATGCAATCACGGATGACACAATATTTTTCAAGGCCAAACAAATTTCATCATACACCCCGAAAATAGATTCATATTACTGCACACCGCTGTAAACGACCCATTCTGAGGAAAAAATAGAAATCAATTACACCTTTTCACTCCAGTGGGTCTGAAACTCAGATCGCTCTTCTAGGAACATCCCATAAGAAAAGTGCTATTAATTAAATGACAATTCTACTATAAGGCCTAAGGACCATGCTTTGGACCCAACTCTACAGGATACAAAGCAGGACACATAATGCACAAATAATAATAATAATAATAATAATGTTCTCGCGAGTACAGCCCACATCTTACGAAGGGCTTTGTCTATGTAATTTTTTTTTCAGTGGAAAACGTCATGATGCCATTTCTAACCTTAGGTCCATGGGCGGGACCCGGAAAGAAATGAGTACACATCAGAAATCAAAGGAAATAAAATAAAAATAATAATATGTGCATTTTCCGATATTTTTGGGAGTACTTTCAGCTACTCTGACCATCTTCAAGGGATATTTTTTCGATATAATAATAATAATAATAATAATATATGCATTTGCCGATATTTCTGGGAGTAGTTTCAGTTACTTTGATCATTTTAAGGAATAATTTTTTCGATATAATAGTAATAATAGTAATAATAATAACAATAGAACAACAACAAAGATACTTAACTCCTAACAAAACATATTTGCTAGTAAATTATTAGTTTAACAAATTTAAAGGAAACTAGATGTTTGTAAACAAAGTTCTTAATATAAAAAATATCCCAACAATAGTTAATAGACAAAGAAATTTCTTTCAAACTTTTCCTTTTTAATTTAAGTTAAATTAATAAATTTTAAAATATCGCAGCCTATTTTCCAGCCTATGTGTGATGTCACGATATACCATTTCAAACGTCTAGCTTTCCAAAGAATACTAGGATGCATACAAAGAAATTCTAACTGCCACACAGACACCACATGCGATAATCGAAAGTCCTTGGACAAAAATAACAAAATATGAACTCAGGACAGTTTATCTACAACTCCTTAATACTTTATCCGAAAATTGGTAGAAATACAGTAAAGAATTAAACAGACAAAACTTTTTGTTTCTTTTTAATCAAACTTCTTTATATATATATATATATATATATATATATATATATATGAGATAACAATATATATTTTATATATCAAGAACAATATTGGGGTAAAATGTGTGACAGATTGGAAAACATTTTCTTGTGACGCGCTTCGTCCTTTAAAAAATTATGTTTTTTTAAAAAAAAATTTTTTTACGCGTTTCACCCCAAACAAGGCGGGAAGCTACTAGCACGCAAGGGGTTACAGAGAGTTGGAGCAAGAGCAAAGAGGAATGATAGAGGAAAGGATGAAGAGAAGAATAGGGAATAGATCAAGGCATCTGGAGACGTCGATTGACATTACATTTGAATATTTGGAGATTATAGCTATCAGGGAAACAGGCGAGAAGTGCGAGACATGAAGCTATTGGAGTAGAAGAAACGGCTACATTTTAACAGTTACAACAGTGAAGGGGTGAGAGCGAACTACCAGTATAGCAACACAGTTCTTAAATGATATTAGCTGCAAACTGTTACAGAAAAAAACAAACAACGAAAAAATAAAACAAATGAAAATACTGCAATTAAAAAATCATTTAAAAATAGCATATAAATTACCTCCCTTGCATTTTGAATTTGCGGTGTTAACGCAAATTCAAAATATTTTTATGCAACCATTGAAGATGGTTTCAAATGAAAGTACTTCTGAAAATAAAAATTATTTAAAAGAAGATTTTGGAATTGTTCTACAGCCACCAAGAAATTAATTTGTGGACTTGAAAGGATTAAAACTAAAATAAATAAACATAATACGTCTAAATTATTTAACCAAACTTACTTGAATTAAAATATGCTGCCTAAATAAGCACACACACACACACACACACACACACACACACACACACACACACACACACACACACACACACATACATACATATGTATAGGTACAGAGGTGGGTAAATCAAATAATTAGATATTAGCAACTGTATACGTGTGCCTTAGCGTGCATACAGAGTTAAGCAAATAAATATTTACTAAATTTACTTTAAGGTATAAACAAAATTCTCAATGTGGTTAGACAGAGCTAAGAAATATATACATTAATACCTACGTTCGAAGTGCAACTTAAGTTTCGTTGTTCTACTAACTCATCAGGCACGAATTATTACCTAAGTAATATTTATATTATTATATAATTTATATATATATATATATATATATATATATATATAGGGTGTCCACAACGTCTTTAGACAAATTCTAGGTTTTATTTGATTCGTTGATCTAAGCAATGCTCACAAAACTTATGACCACCCCCCCTTTTCTTTATTCGTAAAAAGAGGCTGTATTTTGCTTTTAAAATCTGATTAGATCGTTCACTCGCCAGTAATTTACAATCGCCCGATGAGATGCATTGTATGCGCATCGAAACACGACTGCAATTGTTTAGCCATTTTGACATGTTTTCGACGTAATATCCTAAAATAAAGTATATATATATATATATATATATATATATATATATATATATATATATAGAGAGAGAGAGAGAGAGAGAGAGAAAGAGGTGGGTAAATCAAATAACTAGATATTAGCAACCGTATATGCGCACGTTAGCGTGAATAGACAGGTAAGCAAAGAAATAATTGTCTATATTTCTGAGATGAGGTATTATGTACATGTCCTCAAGGACACATGGCGCAGTGGATAAAGGCGTTGGTTAGATCCAGAACCCAAAGAGTGTGAGTTCAATACCCGGCTAAGGCAGTGGAGAACTTTCAGAGGGGAAATTAGCAGGAGATAACTGATAACTGACATCCATTAAACATGGCACATGGAACTAGAACAGTCTACCCCAGTGAGCGAAATAAAGAGTTCAGTTCGACATTCCAACCACCTGAAGAAGGCCAGAGCGTACAACGTCCGAAACGTTGCAATAAATATGGCGATAAAGATGAGGACAATAGTCCGAATAATGTAAATAAAGAAATAATTACTACATTTACTTTAAGGTGATTAGACAGAGCCAACAAATATATAATAATAATAATATTAAGTAATATTTCGTGTCTGATGAGCTGGTAGAACAACGAAACTTGTCGCAATCTAAAAGTAGGTATATGTATATTTATTAATATATATATATATATATAGAGAGAGAGAGAGAGAAAATGAGCAAGAGGATGGAGAGATTTTTATAAAGACACATGCACGCACACACATATACAACAAAAGGGAGAACTTTCCGTAAATATCCCGATCTAGCATCTTCGAATTGAACCCTTCTATTATATTACAGAAATTACCCCTAAAAAGCTCCACACTATGTAAACATAATCTTCCCAGATCATTCCACATATATAGATAAAACAAAAGCTTAAAACAGGAAATAAAATAATTATGAATACTTCCAAAAATGGCATACCCCCCCCACTCCCCGAATAATATGTACTTACTGTACTGTATGCAGTTAAGTATAAGAAATGAGCAAGACCGTTGCATCAAAACACTCTGTTGCTGCCGGCTGCTGCGGAAAGTTGTAAACAACGTCTGGTACTGCCACTCAACAAACTAATTGCCGCTGATTAAAAAAAATGTTCTGGAACATAGGAGTTTCTGGATCACGGATCCTTCTGCGTAATCGGAAATATCCTAATAATAGATATTTATGCATGTAATGCGTAGTTATTCACATGTTAACGTCATAAAGCGCGTTACAGTCGTGTGCAGCTCATCTGCTTGAGGGGGTGGAATTTAAAGTTAAAAAAAGAAAGATAAAATTAATTTTAACGTTAAAAAATTAAAAAAAAACAACATAAAGAAACCGCTTCATGTTTCCCGATATTTTTAAATCCTTTCTTACATTGTAAATCTTCAATACTTTCAGCCTTTTATCTTTCAAAATTTGTATTTTTCTTATATATTTTTCTCTTCTGCTGCCTCAAGTTTGAATTAAAATTTTCATTTTCCACACTTTCTCCCACTCAACTAATCTCTGTAGAAAATCTGCCATTTTTCCACTAGAATCTACTGTTTTTAACAGTTGCCTATTATGGACGCCTTTATTATTATTATTATTTTTTTATTTATTAATAACGCCATCGTCTAGTCATTTAAGTAACTAAATTTATTAGTTTAAATAATACATTTAATACCGTCGCCTTCTTCATACGAAGACTTTCATATTCTTCGTAAGATAGTCTTCATCTATCTCTTTCTTCTATTCTTTTTTATTCGTACGAATTCCTCCATCTCTTCTTTTTTATATGACAACCTTATTCTGAACGCTATCTTGTTCTTGTATTTTTCTCACGATAGCCTTCTTCTATAGTCTTCTATTCTTTTTTATTCGTACGAACGCCTTCTTTTTCTTCTTTGTGCAAGAGCCTTCTTGTTGTTGTTCTTCTTTTTCTTCTTTGTTCTTCTTCTTTGTCCGACCGCCTTCTTCTATCGCCTTCTCGTCTTCATTTTTTCTTCATATGGACGCTTTCTTTTTCCTCTTATTAGTACAAGCGCCTTCTTCTTCTTCGTACGAACGCCTTCTTTTGAACGCCATCCTGTTCTTTTTCTTAATCTTTGTACGATCGCCTCTTCTTCTTTTGTTCTACGTACGAAGGCCTTTTTTTATTTTTTCGCCGTTTTTCTTCTTCCACTTCTTCCTGCCAGCGTGTCCTTCTATACCCTCTTATTCTTCTTTTTTCGCTTCAGTCGAACGCCCTTTTCTTCTTTGCAGAGACACATTCTTGTTCTTCGTTCGAAAATCTTCTTCTGAATGCATTGTTCTTGTTCTCCTCTTCCTCCTCCTTCTTCTTCTGAACTCCTTGTTCTCCTCCTCCTTTTTTTCGTACGAACACATTCTTCTTCTTACGAACGCCTCATTCTATTTTTTGTTTAAACGCCTTTTTGTTGCTGTGCTTCTTCTTCTTCTTCTTCTTCTTCTTCTTCTTCTTCCTCCTAACTACTCCCCCTCTGAAGCATCTACCTATTCCTTTCTTATTTTGCAGACATCTTTTTCTTAAACCTTCATCTTCACACCATCTTCGCTGCATTCACTTAATTAATAGTTATTGAAAACCGAGGAACGATATTGAATATCCGAAACGAAAGGGGCGCCGTTTATACCAGTAACAAAGGCAATGGCGCTAAAAATGTCGCAGTCTCTATAATAGAGATAATTAATTTAAGTCGAAAGGGGGCTGAGGGGGTGTTTTGATTTCTCCATTGGTCTTGTCATAAACCATACAAAAAGCATATAAGAATAAAATAAAAACACGAAAACAAAGTCTATATGTGAAAATATGGTCGTAAGAGAGCCGTATAGCGTTCAAAGGTTGAAACATAGAATCAACGATAATGTCAACTTTCGAGCGATGCAAACTATCTGAACATCTATCTTTAAAATCGTCGAACTGCTTTTGGTAAAAACAAATGTTTAGCTTTAGTTTTAAAATGCCCGTTGCTCATTACCATTCGGAACAAATTAGGAAAATTCTAAGACAAACTTTTCCTTATAAACAATCATGGAACCTTTAACCTTACAGACAATCATGGTATCTTTAGGTAAAGATGAGATATCCGTACAAAAATTTAAATATCTGCGAAGTGTTTTAATACAGGACGGAAAATGTGACGCCGAAATCCGAAGACACATTGGAATAGCGAAATATGTCTTCCAAAAGTTAAGCACAGTAATAAAAAACAGGAAATGTTCGTTAGAAACAAAGAAATGAGTGCTAAACTATTAACTAATATGAGTCTTCCTCTATGGAAGTGAATGATGGACAATCTTCTCATAGATGAAGAAGAACCTTGAAACAATAGAAACAATGAAAAGAGTAGAAAAACTGTTATGTAATATCATTTCTCCTATATGGCAGTGAATGGTGGACAATTTCCTCACAGATGAAGAGGAGACTTGAGGCAATAGAGATGACGGTCTACAGAAGGATTTAGAGAAGACAAAGTAAGAGAGTGCTGGACTGCTATGTAATAACAGTCTTCGTATATGGCAGTGAATGCTGGACAATCTTCTCATAGATGAAGAAGAACCTTGAAATAATAGAAACAATGAAAAGAGTAGAAAAACTGTTATGTAATATCATTCCTCCTATATGGCAAATGGTGGACAATTTCCTCACAGATGAAGATTGAGGCAATAGAGATGACGGTCTGAAGGATTTAGAAGACAAAGTAAGAGAGTGCTGGATAACAGTCCTCCTATATGGCGAAATGCGGGACAATCTTCTCATAGATGAAGATGTTGAGCAACGAAATGTGTTTCTACAGAAGATGCTGAGGATAACATGGACCGAACATGTGAGCAACGACAAAGTTATAGAGACAATGGATACAAAAGGTACACTTATACTTAACTCCAGGTATAGACAGTTAAAATCTCAGTTGAAATTTCCGGGGCACATAATGGGGAAAGAGGGCTTAGAAAATTTGTATCTTTCAAGGCATATTGGATATATATATATATATATATATATATATATATATATATATATATATATATATATATATATGAATGAAACGTATGACCACTCCCTAGCGAGCCTAAGTGAATGGATAGCATATCAAGGTTTAGGAGAAATTGCAAAAAGAAAAAAATATTAAAACTCACAAAGGTCCGGAAATTGTGGAGAGCCATGATCGTCAACGTCCTAAAAGGACACGGTTCAAAGAAGAATAAGAATATGTATGGTAATGAATGCTGGTCAACCACCTCACTAATGAAGAAGAGACTTGAAGCAACAAAATGTTCTACAGAAGGCTACTGAGAATACTATGGACTGAACATCTGAATAAAGAGAACGTTTTAAAGAAATGGTAACAAATAGGACGTTTCAACACAGAAGGAGACAGTTGAAATTTGTAGGGCAGATAATGAAGAAAGAGGGATTTGGACACAGTGAAGGCAAGAAGACAAAGGAAAGCAGCGATGCGTCTAACCTACTTAAGGAGCTTGTGTTAATGGAACCAGGAAGCAAACTGCAGGAATTCTTGGACTATAATGATAGAAAAAAGAAAAAAGAAAAAGAACAAAAGAAACTGTTCGTAAGCCACCAGAAAAATGAAAAAGACAAAAATAACAATCATTTATAAACCTGTCTGAACTAAATAAGATACAGATTTCTCAAGAATCTAAAATTTTCCAATCCAAATACGTAAGAAAGAAAACTTCATTGTGACTTCAAATTTCACGCTATCTTCAGAGGGAAAAATTATCCGTATTGTACAATAAATTTCATTTAAATAACCGGCTTACAAGACGCATTTTTTCCCTAAAAAATACACTGAAATATACGTATGCGTCTTCCAAGCCGAATGTAACGCAACTCACAGGCTCAAGTAAGCTTGGACAGTCACCTAATCAACTTGACTGATATGAACGTGGATCTGCATGTTGAGTCATAACACTATATTAGCTATCTATCTAATTCAGCCTTTTATATGATGTAACCTCAGTACTTATCTGTTACAAGTATTTCTAAGACTATAAAACTTCCTGCAGCCAAGTCACAAGCTTAAATATGCTCTGTTTATTAGCGGCGGCAGCAGCCTTTCTGCTATTGACTAGTATGTCATTGCCATACAAACAAAATCGGATGAGTGATTACTGTAAACAATACGTGGCGCCAGTGTATGAAGGACACATGGTGAATGTGTTGTTGTATGAGAATGACTGTTTTTTTTCTTAGAAATTTCTTTCCAATATTAGAGTTCGTCTTCCAAGATGCAGCGTCTTGTAAGCCGGAAAATACGGTAATATTATTCATTTTTAGAATATTTAAAGAGATATTTTTACATATAAAAGTTAGAATATGAACTTATGTTCGATAAGGTCAAATTGGCAGCTGATTTCTAAACTGATATACAATCTGTTGTTAACTGGGGCAAGAAATGACTGGCTCATTTTAATTCCACCAAAACGATATTGATTTCTTTTACTCGTCTAAGTGAACGTTTTTATACTTCCATCTATGGCTGATGCTAACCTCCAGGAGAGTGATTCATTTCGCCTTTCAGGTTAACGTTTTCTGCTGACATGAAGTGGAACTATTCTATTAAATCAATTTCTAGATCTGCTTCTAGAAAAGTCGGTTCACTGTGTTGTGCTAGAATATTTTTTCTAATCATAATCTATTTTGTACATTTATGAGTCTACCATTCGTCTGTTAAAATAAAAAAAAAAACAGGATCTGCAATGTTACTGACCAGGCATCTCAGCTTCAGCCCCTTTTCAACCGTCTTATTGTAGCTTCCCTCTGCCTTTTCTATAAATACTTTCATGGTAATTGTTCTGCTCTTTCGTATCTAGATTTTATGAATTTAAGCGTACGTCTAGATTGGCGTCATGGTCTCATCATTTTTACAGTTGAAATGGCTAGATGCAACCGTAAGTTTTATGCTAACAGTTTCTTCTTTGACACTTCTTACATGTGGAACTCTTCTGGTTTCTTGCTTTTCAAAATTTAAGCGCAATATCAATCGCTATCTTCTGTCAATTTAATTCCTATCCTTTTATTGTTCTCTTCCCTTAATAATATTTTTCTTTTTCTCATATTCTTTCACACTCAGTAACCCTGTGTGTCTTGGTGGTTTTATTTCCTTGCTTGAGGTGAAATCATTAAATATATATGAGGCGTCAACCGTAACAATCTTAAATACGCTTAATTCTACACAGAGAGACCACCCTAAGAGAACTAGAAGTCCTACCAGGATTTAATATTGGCGGTCATAAACTTAACAACATAAAATACACGGATGTCTCTACTGATATCGGACTCGGAAGGAAAACTGCAAAAATTCCTAGAGGTGGTCGCAAAAGAAAGCGGCCAGAACGGACTATTTCCTATATGAAGACGGAGTATATAGTAATCAGCATGAGAGGCGGCTAAAGGTATGAGTTTCGAATCAGTGACATCAAAATCAAGAAGCTACATAACTTAAGCTATCTGGGTAGTATAGAAACAGATGACGGCAAGTGTGACACAAGGATCCAAACGAATAACGAAAGAGGCTTTCCAGTAACTAAAAAAAGTGTTAAGCTATACGAATATTTCGTTAAAAACAAAGAATGTTGAAATGGCTAGATGGAATCGTAAGTTCTATGCTAATAGTATCTCCTTCGCACTTCTCGCCTGTGGAACTCTCCCCGGCTTTTTGCTTCCCAGTCAACTTCAAAAATTTAAATGCAATGCCAGTCGTTATCTTCTCTCTTCTTAATTTCTGTTCTTTTATTGTTCTCTCTCGCTTTAATAATGCTTTTCTTTTTTTCATTTTCTTTCCCCTTCTTTTGAGTATTAGTGGATTGATTGCCTTGCTTGGTAGTGAGTCAATAGTAGAACTGGAAGAGAATTTACGAGCAAAGCTTTCGGTTTTATCAGCAGATGAAAATACCTCAAATTTAGTGAAGAGAGGAGTGTTATAAGACTTATTCTTATTTAAAAAATATTACAGAGCCGCCAGTAGTCACGTTAACCAATATAGCTTCCCTGTGCCTTTTCTATAAATACTTTCATTGTAATTGTTTTGATATGGTATCTAGACTTTATAAATTTAAGTGCAGTACTAAATCAGCAACAAGATCGCATTATCTTACATTTGGAATGGTTAGATGCAACTGTAAGTTATACACTAACGGTTTCTTCTCTCTCACTTCTCGTTTCCGGAACTCTCTTCCGGCTTCTTGCTTTCCAGTCAACTTTAATCTTCAAACATTTAAATGCAATATCAATCGTTATCTTTTGTCTTTATAATTCCTGTTCTGTTATTGTTCTCGCTGCACAATAATGTTTCGCTCTTTCTCATATCCTCTCACACTCTTTAACCCTCCTTGCGTCTTAGTAGCTTAATTACCTTGCTTGGAGGGAAATAATTAAAAAACTGTTTTCATGAGGATTGTTGATAAATTTAAAAGATCGGTTGAACGGCGGCTAAACACTTGTAACTATTTTTATATCTATCGTGAAACATTACACTTTTATAATACTAAAACTCTTTGAACTTTGCTTGCTTGCTTGTGTGTTTGCCACCGTGCATGCGAAGTCATATATAGAGAGTGGGAGAAAGAAAGATGTAAATTTATTATCGTATAGAAAGGTGGGGAGAGAAGGAAATGGTGCATATACATGAATTGACAGTGAAACCAAAAGAAAAAATACGGTTTCTCTTTCCACCTCTCTCTCTTTCCATCTCTCACTTTCCACCTTTCACTCTTTCCACCTCTCTTTCTTTCCATCTTTCTCTTTCCACCTCTCTCTTTTTCTATCGCTCTCTCTTCCCACCTCTCTCTTTCCACCTCTCAGTCTTTCAACCTCTCTCTTTCCACCTTCCTGTGATTGCATGCGTGCTTATTTATATTTCAGCTTTCTTTAAACAAACAATAATTTAAATATTTAAAAAAATTATTTTTGTCATATTTAAAAATATTTTCAAGCGAATATGAATTAAAAATGTGATTTGTTTATACAGTAAGTATTTTTATTTGAACTTTCTTCAAACAGACAATTTTTTAATGTTGAAATCAACTTCAATGTTTTATAGTCTGAGCCTTCAGTGACTCAACGGTTCACGGCTAGCATAATATTAAAAGTCTGTGAATCGGGCGTAGGTCTGCTGTCGGGCGCATAACGATTTAAGTTTCTCTCCACCTCACTTTTTCCACCTCTGTCTTTTCATCTCTCTCTTTTCACCTCTCTCCCTTTCCACCCCTCCCTTTCCACTTCTCTCTCTTTCCACCACTCTGTCTTCTACCATTTCTCTTTCAACCACTCTCTTTCCACCTTTCTCTTTCCTCATCTCTGTTTTCTCCTATCTCTCTTTCCACAACTCTCTCTTTTCACCTCTCTCTTTCCACCTCTCTCTTTGCACTTCTCTCTCTTTCCACCTCTCTTTTTTCACCTCTCTGTCTTTCCCTCTTTCCACCTCTCATACTTATTTATATTTCAGATTTCTTTAAAAAAACAATATTTTAAATATTTAAAAAACATTTTTTGGCATATTAAAAAGTGAATATGATTTTAAAATATATTTGGCATATTAAAAATATTTTTAAGTTAGTCTGATTTTAAAATATTTTAAGTGAATAAGATTTCAAAATACGAATTGTTTATACAGTAAGTATTATTTCAACTTTCTTCAAACACAATTTTTTAATGTTGAAATCAAGCTATAAATCAAGTACTAGACTACCCGTGACGCAACGGGTCACGGGTAGTCTAGTACTAATTATTTGTGAATTTTGACTCAGGAGCTCAGGCAGAAGGGTTAAAATTGTTCAGGAACGCAGGACTCAAAGAGTTAAATATTACTGGGAAAGACTCTATCTTACACATCTATAAACTTACCATTCGTCCATGCTTAGAATATTGCTGCCACTTATGGTCCAGTGACCTTGCCTTGACCTTGAGCTCCTTGATAAAATCCAAAGAAGAATTAGCAATATTATTGGTCCTGATCTAGCGGCTCGGCTTCAGCCACTTTCACGCCGCCGTAAGATTGCCTGTGTCTTTTGTATAAATAATTTCATGGTAATTGTTCGGATGAGCTCTTTTCTTGTGGCACAAATTATGGGCACCCAGTAAGGATTGAACTCACTGCTCAGTTTTAATGGTTCTAGCAAAACGAGCTTGCTAACCATTGCATCACGTCGAGGTGCCCGCAAGCTCTTTTCTATGGTACCCAGAAATTTTGAACGTAAGCGTAGTACTAGACTGGCGTCGAAATCTCATCAGTTTACAGATGAGTTGGCCAGATGTAACGGTAAATTCTATGCTAACAGTTTCTTTTCTCACACTTCTCACATGTGGAACTCCCTTCCGACTCAATGCTTTCCAGCTGCAAAAAATTAAATGCAATGTCAGTCTTTATCTACTGTCGTCCTGATTACACTTTTATCTTTCCGCTCATTATTAATATTTCTTTTCCTAATTCTTCCATAACCTGTAGCATCTTGTGTCTTAGTGGCTTTAATGCCTTGCATGAGGTGATACCGAATAAAAAAGAAACGAATTTAAATAAGATAAAATATCAGAATTTTGATGTTATATTTCTTATTTCATATTGCGCCAGTTTAGCTTTTTTTTTTCAAACATAAAAGTTTTATTTCTTAAAGAAAGAAAATCCCCAATAACACTGCAGTGATATTTTAGCACAAAGTAAAACTTGCCATCATAGGTAGTTAAATAATTCGTTATACGGGCAGGCTTATATGAACGCAAGCAAAATAAATTGGTTCGTAATATTTCAAGGAAATGTAGTAAAATTAAGAAAAAAAAGAAGACTGATTTCAACAGAAAATGTAATAATGAAAGTGAAAGTGAAACCAAGCAGGAAATAATCAAGAGTTATTAAAAATCTGTTGAATTGAATACCGATTTCATTCATCTTTGGGCAGAAGCCAATAACTCGAGTCATGACCCTAAGGCTACTGGTAAGGTGCTCGCCCAGATTAACGGGCAATCTATTGTGGAATAAACATTCTCTTTTTAAATTATTATTATTATTTTTATTAATCATTTCAGTCCAAGCAAGATAGAAATGCCACTAGTACGTATAGGGAGTGAAAGTGAGAGAAAAGACTGCATATAGGGATGATTGATGAAAGGATAAAAGATGAACGGGATTCAAGAAGATAGAAGATGGCGATTGATGTTGCATTTAAATTTTTGAAGATTGTAGTTATCAGGGAATCAAGTAAACAGAGGAAAGTTTCACAGGTCGGAAGTGCGAGAAAAGAAACTGTTGGAGAAGAAGTGGCGGTTGCATATAGCTATTTTAACAGTAAATAGCTGGGACCTAGATGCCAATCTAATAGCACGCTTACATTTATGTAGTTCTGGCATCAGGGAAAAAGCTCTTCAGATCAGTTGCCATGAAAATATTTAGTGAGAAAATGACTGAAGTCGAAATTCCAAGTCAGGATTGATTATATTACAGATCCTTTTGTCAAGAACTTAGTGATGAATAGCAGGAGCATCAGATCAGATATGGCAACAGTATTCAATGCAAATGAATGGTAGATTTGTAAATGTACAAGATGGACTCTGACAAGAAAAACCTTCTGGCACAACACAATGAACGAACTTTGAATGCAGTTCATATTTGTTTGTTTTAATATTTTTACTTTTCGTCTGTATTCGTGTACTTTGTGTCTCTTGTTTAAATATTCCATCTCTCTTTTCTTCCAAATTTTCATCCGGAAATTTGATTTGTTCGGCGGAGGAGGGGCGTATTCACCCTCCCCCCAAAAAACATTGAAAATTGCTTTTTTCATTATATCATATCCAAGTATTTTACAAAAAATTAGAGCTGATTACACAATAGTTCAAGCCCAGTTTATGTTTATAGTTCGAAACCATGCAATAAGATGAGGTAACATAAACTGTAGATTTATCTGCGGAATATCATTACATTATTGTTACATACTTATAGTGAAATTATTAAATTTTTTTTTGTCAAAAGCATTTTATTTTTGATCGTATATTAATTTAAAATATTCCTTTTTACAGGCTTTATTTTTGAAATGTGATAAGATCATCCTAAATTCCAGAATTTCGCTATTGACCATTAAAATGAATGGAAGAAAGCGATCTAAAAACAACAATGGAAAAGAGAGGTAACAAATCGTAAACGAAATAGCTTCACTTTGTTCAACTTAGGAAACTTAGTATTCCAGCCAAAGTATTGTAAAATGTTGCCAATAATAAAGAAAAAAATGAAAAATACCTAGCAAATATCGAATATAGCATGAAAATTTATATTATCTTATTGTATTTGTTATGTAACTAAATACATAATTGGCAACAACGTTTCCATAAAACTTGAAATTTTTTAATAATAATAATAATAATAATTATTATTATTTTACTTAAGTGTAAGGTAGTGCTAAATTTGCAATTCTTTACGGCTAACCATGAAAAGAAATGTTGATAAAAACTGACTAAAACCTTTAAGCACATATTGACGCAAAATTATCAAATGTTGAATACGCCATTCCTCCACTGAATTCGCCATTTATTTGATTTTTTCTTTAATTTATTTTCTTCATTTTTTTTACATTCTCATTTCATTCTTTATTATTTTTCGTATATTTCTCTTAATTTGCTTCTTCTCTTCCATCTTCACTTCCTTTATTTTAAAGTCTCTTTCCAATTGTTTTTCATTTATGTCTTCCTCCATTTAGTCTTCGAATCATTTATGCGTTTTTCACTTTTGTTTTCCCTTTTCCCGACTTGATTCATTAACATTTTATTTTTCAGTTTTCTCTTTGGTTCTTGAATTTCCTCTTCATCCTGTCACTGATCTCCAACAGGGAAAACGGAGATCCAACATAGCGTGACGTTCGGCGTCATTCTTGCTGAGATCTTAATAGTCATCGACAGACCGACAAGTCTGTTGTGTGATTAGCCCTCAAAATAGCAAACAGTGCTTTCTGAGAGTCGAAAACATTCATCGTCTAAACCGAAAAGACGTCGTATAAACTTCACCTCAAGGCGCACTCGAATCTATTTCGACAGATGAGATACCACGCAATGTGTGTTGTAAGGAACAATTCATCCTAGATAATAACGAAAGAAAAAGATAAAAAAAAGATAATTATTTGAAAAAAAATACACCCCCACCCAAAAAAAACAAACAAAAAAACAAACAAGACAAACGAAAATGCTTCACTCCGAGAGAACAAAATAAATCATATTGAAAAATTAAGAATACAACAATTATTGCCGTTCGGGTTCATGTTGTTTAAGGTTACTATCCTAATTGTCTACAGAAGGATGTTGAAAATACGAAAAAGCTAAACAAAGTATTAAGAAACAGAAAAAATATTGTTAGAAACAAAGAAAAGAGTACTGAACTGTCATGTAATATCAATCCTCCTATGTGGCAGTGAATGCTGGACAATCTCTTCACAGATGAAGAAGAGACTTGAAGCAACAGAAACAAAGAAAGGAATACTGAACTGTTATGTAATATCAGCCCTCCTATCAGTGAATGCTGGACAATTTGACAATCAGTTTTGATTTTGGTCCTATGGAATCCATTTTTATTAAACTGATGATGCCACTGATTCACGAAAAAAATGTCTATTTAGGAATAAGAAAAACTAGTTTTATTTTTTTACATTTTAAACTCACAGATGACCCATTTGAGAGTTTAAATTTTAAAAAGACGATGTTCTGCCAGAAAAAAAAAATTCCAGAAAAATATTTAGTTGTTCGTTCTTTTTAGTTTTGCTCTATTTATGACGAAATATGTTTATAATATATTCCGAACCAATTCTTCCCTAGTAACCGGCTAATTGTATCTGGAAAAATATTTAATATTCTCAACAACTGTTAATGAACTAATTACTCGCTAAAAAAATGAGTAATTCTTACAATAGAAACCGTTTCGGCTTTAAATAACACACAAAAGGTTGATAAACCGTAAAGAAAAGAGAAAATCAATATCAACCCACTTTGGGATTAATGTATAGCGAATAAATAACGTGGAGGTTTTGTTTATATTAAAACAAATCTCTTAATAAACCCAGTATATTTTGAAGCAGTTTGATTTTTACCGTAGGTAGTTAAATATTCTTTTTTCTTAAATCGTTTCACATCAATCAAGGAAGTAAAAGCCACTAAGACGCAAGGGCTTTACTGAGAGTGAAAGAAAGAGAGAAAGGAAAAATAAAAGAACAGATTTTAAGGAGACAGAAGAGGACAATTAACGTTGCAGTTAAATGTTTGAAGATGGTAGTTAACTTTGAATCCATGTGATTGGTCCATACGAACAACCGCTTCAGCAGATTGGGCTAATGCTAATAAACTCGTAAAGAGTACTCTATCTATCTATCTATCTATCTATCTATCTATCTATCTATCTATCTATCTATCTATCTATCTATCTATCTCAGTCTGTTTTATATCTATCTATCTATCTATCTATCTATCTATCTATCTATCTATCTATCTATCTATCTATCTATCTATCTATCTCAGTCTGTTTTATATCTATCTATCTATCTATCTATCTATCTATCTATCTATCTATCTATCTCAGTCTGTTTTATATCTATCTATCTATCTATCTATCTATCTATCTATCTATCTATCTATCTATCTCAGTCTATTTTCTATCTATCTGTTTTTCTATCTATCTATCTATCTATCTATCTATCTATCTATCTATCTATCTATCTATCTGAACTGTGAATGTCGATAAATGTGTCTGTATGTTTTTGTCTTATTTGTGTGTGTGTGCATGTGCGTTTGTTCATGTGTGTGTCTGTGTATGTATGCATGTACGTGCACGTGCTTGTGCGTGCTCGTGTGCGTGTGTGTGCGCCCATTGAGTCGATTGCTATTCAAATCAGATATGTAGCTGGGGAGATTTTATGTCGACACACTGCCGAGGATCATTTCCACCTGCTGACCATCCTCCGACCACTGGCTATCCCTTAGACACTATCAGCTTCGTCTCTCCGTTGCCAGGGCAACGCCAATTGCTTAGGACATACTTGTTTGTATTATCCGTTAATCTATTTGTTCTTTCTATTTTCTTTTTTATGAAACGCTATTTTCAACATTAAACTTTCCTTTCCACTTTTTTTTTCTCTTTTGGCTTCTTTTTCTTTTTTCACTATTCTTGTTTTACTGATTTCTTTTCTTATTTACTTTTAGAGATTTAAAAAAAATATTTTGATGTAACTTTTTTTTGCATTGAAGTGCGACGTTGAATCATCACTAGCAAAGTAGATGCAGCACAATAGTCCCTTTCACGCTAATCTCCTTTGGAAGGCATGAATCTGATTTTTCTATCTGTCTTTATGGATGATATCTTAACAAAATATTTCATCACTGAGATGCTGTGATGGCTCACAGAGTATGCGCATCAGTACCTGGGTACACAAACCACCCATGGTTATCTTACCTGCAACGAAATATAGCTATTAATCCTCAGAGTTGACTTTGATAAAAGCAAATAATGAGATAAGTGAATCTTATGATTATTGGTTTTTATGATTTCTGTTCGTTTTACTTTCTTATCGTTTTGTTGTTGATATTCGGTCTTTCATACATTTGTTTGTATGTTTCTTTTTTACTTTTGCTTTCTTTCTTTCTTTTTTCTTTCTTCTTCTTCTTCTTATTTTCTGTTTCATTGTTATTTTTTTATTCTTTCTTTTCCCTGTATCTTTCTTTCTTTCTTATTTATTTTGTTTTTTAATTTATTTCTTTCTTTCTTTCTTATGTTGTTTTTTAATTTCTTTCTTTCTTTCTTTCTTTCTTTTTCTTTCTTTCTTTGTTGTTTTTTGATTTTTTAATTTCTTTCTTTCTTTCTTTTTTATGTTGTTTTTTAATTACTTTCTTTCTTTCTTTCTTATGTTGTTTTTTAATTTCTTTCTTTCTTTCTTTCTTTCTTTCTTTCTTATGTTGTTTTTTAATT